CTCTTGAGCACCAAATAAGAAACTGTCAGCTTCAATGCTGCAAATGTATTAAAATAAATCATGCCATTTGAAGCTGGGGTGGTGACTCATTTTTTACCCTGTGTTTTGTTGTGGTCAACTTAGATTATCTCTCATACACAGTTTTTTGTGTGCTTCCAGGAGATACTAATCATCAAGAGATGGTTCCAACTAAGAAGAGCGCTGTTCTCGTGGACGGGGTCATACTGAATGGTCCCACCACAGATGCAAAGGCAGGAGAAAAGTTTGTTGAAGAGGCCTGTAGGCTAATAATGGAAGAGGTGGTTTTAAAGGCAACAGATGTCAATGAGAAGGTAAAAGAAAATAGCCTATAAGCAATCCCAGGAATGAGGAAAGATATCCCCGCCCCCCCCCACCCCCGCCAAAATCTGGATGGCTAGATGTAAGGGAAATGGCAAGTGCACATTTTAATTTCCTCTATACCTTTGTTTCAAGGGGCTGCCCAGATACTAAAGTTGCATTTGTCTTCCCCACCCTGTATCTGCTTTCCTGGAAGGGTTAGCATTTAAAAAATAATTTTAAAAATCCTATGTAATAAAATCCTAATATGCTAAGTGTCCTACTGTTCAATCATTTAAATAGCTGCTACGACACACACTGACCACCATGGGGCAGATGTTCCAACCGGTAGGTTAGCTTGCTGCTGGAGTCCAGCTGATCAGGACTGGGCGAGATGGGCCAGACACACACTAGAGCCCTCCTGCAGTTCCTCCCCGGCCATGACCGTGCACCGGTGGAGTCTCTCTGCCTGGCCTGCACCTTCTTGCAATCTTGAACCCCTTGGGGGATGTCAAAGAGTCGGTTTCAGCCCAATCCCCACAGGCCAGGCTGAGGGACCCCACCAGTGCGCAAATCTGTGCACTGGGCCTCTAGTTTACATATATGTATAATTGATTTCAGAGAGGAAGGGGGGGGGGAGAGAGAGAGAGAGAGCGCGAGAGAGAAACATCAATGATGAAAAAGAATCATTGATTTGCTGCCTCCTGCATACCCCCTGCTGAGGATCAAGCCCACAACCCTGGCATGTGCTCTGAAGGAGAATTGAACTGTGACCTCCTGGTTCATAGGTCAATGCTCAACCACTGTACCACACTGGTCAGGCATGGAAGGGTTAACTCTTAACAGTCATTTTCTGGGAGATAGTCTGGGACTCCAGAACTTAGGCATATAAGGCCATGAGGCACATGGATGAAGCTTTCTGCTCTAGATAATAATATAGACTATAAATAACCTGATGGTCAGACTTATACATTCTGTGAAACACACTTTGCTCTCCATTTTTTGATACACATTCTTTATGTAGCTAATAAAAACCAAGCAGAAGGTAGAAAGGGTGTGAAAAGTTTTACAATTTATCTAAGGGTCCTTACAGGAGCTTGTCTGAGGTTAGGTTAGAAATCTTTGGTTGTTAAGCCTGACTTCTGATAGGTACCAAGTATTGATTTTAGGTTTCAAATGGGGGTTCAAAATCAGATTCAAAACGATATGGGAACCACTACTAATGATGTCTACTCTTAAGAGTGCTTAACGATGTACCAGATGCTGTTCTAAGGACTACGCCATATGTATTTGTTCATTTAATCCTTAAAAACCCCTAAGAGACAGGTACTGTTTAGTAACTACATTTTAGAAATGAGGGGAAAAGTGAGACATGAAGAGGTTAAGTACTCTGCCTAAGATCACATGCCAGTAAGCATCAGAGCTGGCACTGAAACGCAGGCAGTCTGGCTTCAGAGTCTGTGCCTTTAACTACTTACTCCTCTCTATGTTTCATAAAATCCCCAAATTATCCTTTCTCACATTGGTCACCATTTATAACAGAATTGTGTTACCAACAAATGGATCAACAGATAGGAGAGATGGAGAGATTTTTATTCCAATTCTATTAGTCGGAAATAAAAGTCATTTAAAAATCATTTTGAAAGTGAAGTGGAATGTATTCTGAATTTTTGATCACATGCATTTGGGAAAACTAATACCAAAATAGATTGGAATGAATTGTGAACTTTGAATGGCTATATGTTCAAGGCAAAATCACTGATATTTCCTGATTATATATTTATAATTGCCCATTTTCTGGTTTTATCTGTACTTGTGAAATATTTTGCACCTGCCTTACTTTGGAGCACACTGCTCCTCTGGTAAGATTTTTTTTTAATTGGCCTTTATTCAGTCATTAAATATTAACCGAGTGTTAGTTAGGGGTAAGGCATTATATTTAGCCCGGGGAAATATAAAGAAAAATAAGAAAAAGGTTCAGCTTTGAACTAAATTTATAATCTGATTGGAAGAATAAGTTTTCATTGGAAAAGAGAACAGGGGGTCCCATAAGAATGTGATAAATGCTCTGTGACTGGGGCTGACTTTGGGGATTTCAAAGAGGGGTGGGCACTTTCAGCTTTCATGTGGAATGTGAAGGCTAAGTAAGATTTTGATGGGCGCAGAGAAGTCAGCCTCTGTGTTGAAGAAAGCAGGAAGTTAAATATGGAAAGAGTTGCCAAAGAACAAGATGCATTTAACATACTAAAGGGACCATTTTGCCTAGAAAAAAAGTGTTTGTATAGGGAACTAATAGGAGATAAGATGAGAAGGGTAGGCTTATGATCCTAAGTTATCAATTAAGGAAGCACAAGTCAATCACAATATAGCAGATGTGTAGACTATCCATGTGAACATGGATAGAAAGCTATGTTGGTGTTGAAGGAAAAGGTGAAGTTTTTGTGCCACTAACTTAGCCTACTTTGTTAGAGATCCAACAGGGTACCATTAAAAGGTGACAGGTGGGTGTTAGTAAAGGGTAAAGGGGGTCAAATATATGGTGATGGAAGAAGATTTGATGATTTCGGGTGGTGGGCACACAACTCAGAGTATAAATGAGTTATCTTAGAAATGTACACTTGAAACAATTTTATTAACCAATGTCACACCAATACATTTAAGATTTTTTTAAAAAAATAAGGTGCCCTGCTTATACACCCCACACTTCGTGAGATGATTACTTCTAGTACCCTCTGTGGAAGACACACTTTCTCAGCCACCTTTAAAAAAAAAGAGTCATAATTTACATTGAGTAAAATTTACTCTTTTTAGTGTATTGTTCTGTGAGTTTTGAAAATACATGGAACCATCACCACAATCAAGATATAGAATAGTTCTATCACCTCCAAAATTTCCTTATGCCCCTCTATAGTCAACCCCCCCCCCCTCAACTCTAGACCCTGGCAGCCATTATTTTGTTTTTTGTCCTTGTAGTTTTCATCTTTTCCAGAATGCCAGATGGTTGGAATCATATCACACGTAGCCTTTTGAGTCTTGCTATTTTCCCTCAGCAAAATATATTTGCGATTCATCCATGTTGTTGTGTGTATCACTATCTAATTCTTATTGTTTCTGTTACTTTTGATTTACCTCTGCCTGTTGTAGTCCTAACATCAGAGGTTAATTTCATACCTCTTGGACAACTTGGTATTTCCTCCTGTTTCCCACAACCTCCCACCACTTAGTCTCCTCACTTCCTGACTATTCCTCTGTCTCTCTCCTCCCCTCCACAGTCAAACTTTTAAAAAATTGTCTCCCCACTCCCTCCTTTTATCTCCTCACCTCCTACACCCTCACTTCACAGCAATCTGGCCTCCACTCCTACCTCTAAGTCACACTGCTCTTGCCAAGAACACCTCCTTGTTGATAACACCCATGAGCACTTCACAGTCTTTATCTAATTTGGCTTCTCACTAGGATTTGACAGTGATGACTATGTTCTTCGCAGAACATTCTTTGTGTTAATAGCATTAAACTCTTCTAGGATTCTCCCTGCTTCTTCAGCATGTGCCCCACCTCACGCAGGAGCTTCTGTCCCTTCGCCCACTTTTTGAATGTTGGCATGACTCAGGTGAGATCCTACACCTTTTCCTCTTTGCTGTAGGTTCTCTCTGAGCTGTGTCAACCACGGTAGATTATCACGGTGTATGCCTGAAGCTTTCTTCCTCATATTTCACAGCAACTTCAGACCGACTGCTATACCCCTTTGGATGTCTTGAGAATCCTTAAACTAAATGTTCTCCAAACTCATCATCCCCACCTATACCAGATGCTTCTCCCTCTCACCACCATCAACCCATGCATGCAAGGTAGAGACCTCAGGATTATCCTTGGTTATTCCTATCCCTCATCCTCACTGTGAAATTGATTTCTAAGTTCTATTGATTTAGCATTTCAAGTATCTCTAGAAATATTTCATTCTTATAGTATCTACCCTCATCCAGCCTGCCACCTTTTCTTGCCTGATTTATTACAGTAACCTTTATTTCCAATTTTACTTGGAATCTCCACATAGCAACAAAAGCTATTATCCAAAACACAAATATGATGATATAATTCCCCCGTCCAAAATATCCCAATGGCTTTCTTAGTGCCAAGTTCACACTTTATGCTACATAAAGCCTATAATGATATGAGTCTTGCTTATGTTTTTATTCATTCATTTATTTATTCATTCATCATATCTTTATTAAGCATCCCCTTAGGTAGCCGGCTCTGCATCATTTACTTGGGACCAGTGAACAAACAAACCGATGTCTCCGCTTCCATGGAGATTATATAGGACATAATAAATATTGGAAGGCGATACGTGCTATAGAGAAATGATGAGTAGAAAAGTCAGGAGAGATTGGTAGAGATGGGTGAATGTGCAGCTTGTGATTTTTAATAAGGGAATCAGAATTGCTGTCATTCAGAAAGTGACATTTCAGTAGAGCTTTGAAAGCAGTGAGGAAATTAGCTGTAGGGATATTTGGAGGAGGAGCATTCCAGGTGGAGGGCACAACCAGTTTAGAGACCCTAAGATGGGAGTATGCCCGGTGCACTAAAGAACAGCAAAGAGGCCAGGTTGGCAGGGCAGAGTCAGCCAGGAGGAAAGTAGTGCTAGATGCAACTAGAACCCTACCAGGGGAAACAGATTATACAGGATCATTTTAGGTCATTGTATGGACTTTGGTTTTCCTGTGAAGAATATGGGGGCCCATTGGGAATATTTGAGCAGAGGAATGACCATGCCACATTGCTAGTAGACTATGAGGCAAGGATATAAGCACAGAGATGACTAGTTAGCAGGAGTTTGTTATTTCAGCCTTAATTCTTGCCTTTCCCTTCCTCAAACTACCTCTTCTAGCCACACTACACATACTTCATTCTTCCTATGTGTCCTGGGCTCCTCTATTCGTATTTCAGCCTTTGTGACTTCTATTACTTCCACCTAGAATGCCCCTTGCACTACCCCAGCCCCTAAACTTTGCTTGCTTCATTTTTGACCTTCCAAATCTAAGGTGAGGCCCCTCATTTGTTTAATGACTTCTGCATTATTGTGGTAGCTCTTTTCAGGCTAAACTGTGGTTGCACCTTAAGTCCCTGTCTCTCCCACTTGTCTGGAAGCTTCATAAGGTTAGAGTTCTAATATTCGTTCAATACTTGGCTCTCTTGGGTGCTAAGTTAACTGTTTCATTGCTCACCCTCCAGGTTTGTGAATGGCAGCCTCCTGAACAACTGAAACAGCTTCTTGATTTGGAGATGAGAGACACAGGAGAGCCACACCACAGGCTGTTGGAACTCTGCCGGGATGTCATTCACTACAGTGTCAAAACTAGTACGGATTTACTTCCTTGATCAGTACCTCTAATAAGTACATGTTCTTCAGGATTCATTTACCTCATGGAAAAGCTGAGTATGACAGTGTTTATGGATGAGTGATTCTGCCCTAGCCAGTTTGGTTCAGTGGATAGAGTGCCAGCCTGAGGACTGAGGGTTCAGGTTTCAATTCCAGTCAGTGGCACATGCCCGGGCTGTGGGCTCTATGCCCAGTGTGGGGCATGCAGGAGGCAGATGATCTATGATTCTTTCTCATCATTGATGTTTCTATCTCTCTTCTTCTTCCTTCGTTTCTGAAATTAACACAAATTTGTTACAAACAAAAACAAAACATAGTGGTTCTGATAGTTTTTAAATGGTCCATTTAACAGTTATTACAGATTTATGGTAAGGGCCAAAAATAAAATGAAATCGAAACTGTTGGTGTTAATGGTCACATATAAATATTACCCACTCCCTTGGTGATCCCCATTCCCCACTTATAATTAAGCCCATATACCATTACTGCCACTTCTCATTTCTTATGTTGATTCAAACTGGTAAATAATACTTTGATTATAGAATTTGTAAGGAATTTTAAATTTCAATGGCCTAGAACAGTGGTCGGCAAACTGTGGCTTGTGAGCCACATGTGGCTCTTTGGCCCCTTGAGTGTGGCTCTTCCACAAAATACTGACTTCTGCGCATGGGCCATGAAATTTCAGTCATACTATACGTGTGCACCCGCATGTGGTATTTTGTGGAAGAGCCACACTCAAGGGGCCAAAGAGCTGCATGTGGCTCGAGAGCCACAGTTTGCCGACCACTGGCCTAGAATGTGCAAAAAAAATGTTCAAGAATGAGTCCTTAATATAAATAGGAATAGATTTATTTGGAAAATACTTATTAACTCTGGGCAGTTGGTAATTACCAAATTATTTTATCAACTCTAGTAGGATCAAAAAATAAGAACCTTTAGGAAGGTATAAAAAATGAATCTGATACATGGTGAGTTTATGTTGTGATGGTTTCACAACAATGCTTAACAACTGTGATCTTTGTAAATGCAGTAACATCATGCCAGTTTTGTGCTGAATACTGTTCCAGCTGACTGTTAACATATACCCAGGGAACAAGTTCTTAAAGTAAGAGAATAATTTTCCAAAATATGCATTTCTCAGTACGATGTAAAGGTAATCTAGTGCTTAAGACCATGCAGGCATTATGCTGTGTGAATTCTGACGCTGAACTAAATGTAGTGGAAGGAATATCATAAAATTCTGGCTAAAAATAATTGGTTTATATTCCCTTGGGAAAGTCTGGTGTATGTATCAAAAACCCACTTAGCATTTCAAAAGCAGAGATACATATCTTATTATTCCAGTGCATGTCAGAAGTGTAGAAGGACATTTAATGCAGTAGATTTTTCAGCTTACTAGATATTTTCCATAACGTTACCATGGAAATCAATCATAAATTAACACAGAACAAAAAAAAAAAACACCACAAAAAACAAATCTTATTAAAATTACTTGCAGCCATGTCTGGTTTCCTTTGCCAGATTAGAGGAAGTTTTCCATGTTTTATTTTAAAAAGACATTTTCTCTTGATACTTTTCTTTTTCATTGAACCCCTAGTTGAAAGAGGAAAAATAATCTAAAAACCAAATACTGGAAGTTGTAGCAAGAAGTCACTAACTGAAATGGTTCCCCCGTACTCAAAGTTGGAAATAGACCTGTGCCGTTGTTCTTGGTCAGGCTGGGCATCCTATGATTGAGAATGCCAAGCCAGTTACCCTGGCGTTTGGTGTGAATATTCACATTGTATAAAGCCAAGGACCTTTACGAAACTTTATAGCGG